AAATTTTGGTATGTGGAAATTGACCTAAGAGGTGTAAGTTATATAACAATCTTTTTTTTTTTTAAAGGGCCTTTTGCGAAGAAAGGGGCAGTCAGTTCACCAGAAACTAGCTGCCCCGCTGCTCTGCTAAGCCAAACTTCATCCTAGAGTGACCCTAATTCTTCCAAGGACCCATGCAAAACACAAGACTGTCAAAAGCTACTCACTTGTTGTAAACTGTTAAAGATGATTAAGACATGCAAGTTAAGAGTCACTTATAAATGATTAAATTCCTTAATGTCTTCAAAACTATACTTGTGCCATGCTAAGTACAAACGTAATTTATTTACAGAAATGAGCTTTATTTAGCCTCCTGTGTATGTTTTCAAGGTTAAACCTAGAACAAGTAACTAAAAACAAGTAAAGTTCATTTAAAATCAGGTATACTTAATAGATGACCCTCAAAATTTTTCAGAGAGATCTGATAAATGTGGCATTTAAAATTTTAAGTGGAAAAGGCTTCCTGTGGTAGACAAAAATACCAGATCCTTTAGGCAACCCCAAGGTCTCCAAAGATGATGATGGGCACAGACAACTCCGTCTGGACTATGGTAATGATAACCACGGGGAACAGTGTCCCGTGTCTCACCTGCTGCCAGGGCTCTTCTCATACTGTGGACACTGTTGGGTTGATTTCCTTACTATGCCTTGTCACAGAAGGTCAGTTTTCCCAGGATCCTCCTCCATGGAAAAATTTCTCAACCCTTCTGGGTCTCACAGCCAAAGGCCTATGCTGTCCTATGCATAGATTTTAAATTTCTTTTCTTTTAAATTAATTAATTTATTTATTTAATGCCGAATGCTGTTTATTGAAGGAGGGAAGAGGTCTTAAATACAGGCTTACAGCACAATGGGAGAAACCTGGAGGGCAGAAGTTTGCTACCGATGTTTTACAATCTTGCATCTAAGCTATTAACACCCATTATGCAGGATATACAGACAAGAAACTTCCCTTAAGCATTTAGGAGGGTGGAACCCGGGAGGGAATTAGCATAGGGAGGATATCAAGGTCAAGGTCAGCAAGCAAGGCAACAGTTACCCAAAATGGGAGCCAGGGCCTTACAGGTCCCCCTTTTACTAAAAAAATGAGCTTCTGACTTAGGTTGCATGGGACATCTGCAGGTCACCTTACTTGTCATGAAGACACCTGCCCAGGCCACACAGGCATTCTGTCTTAGGTTGGTGAGCGCTCCCCAGGAATTACCCATCTCTGAATACTCTTATCATACAGGCTCAATCGTGTGTGAGCTGCAGAGTTAACTGCTGCCAAAGATCTCAAAGTGGCACTGGGTTTGCAATCTGTGTGTAGATTTTAAATTTCTTCTGGTTGTCTTATAAGCTAAAACATCTCTATCTAATTTATATATCTAGCCCTCTTGCTTTTTAACTCAAAGGTATAGCTTTTACTATGATGCAAAGGCATGAGTCTACTACAGCTGTGTTACAAGATACCAGTTAGCTGCTTTTTCTACAATATGGATTTAAATACAGATTACAAACAATGGTAATGGACTAGAAGAACAGTTGAACATTTTAAAGGGGGGGGTGTTAATGGGCCATCCCTGTAAGGAGTTGGAAGACAGTAGTACTAAGTGCAATGTGGACTATAGCTGCCCAGCTCAGAGGTTTCAGAGGGGAACAGTAACAGCTGGGGTAGAGCCCATTCTTGTAACATTTTGGTAAAGAATGTGGCTGCTTTCTGTCCTTGTCCAAAAAGTCTGCCATAGGCTCAGTTGAAGAGCCTTGGACTAATACCACTGGCAGATTTTAAGACAGCCTGGTATTGACTATGTCCTGTGGTTACTAGTGATCACTCTTATGCAGATTGACATGAAATGAAAAGGTACAAGCAGGGCAAAGAGAAATACAAAATGCAGAGTTTGAGGAGAAAAAAGAGCACCTGGAAGTGTAATGGAGCTAAGTTCTGTATTCAAGGAGACCAGAAGCTAAAAACAAACAAATAAAAAGACCTGGTGCTAAATGGAATAATGGGAGTGGTAACCTCAAGGCAAGACTCTCCTCAGCTAATCCTGCAACCTATAAAAGGAAAATGTAGCTAGAGTTTTCCTGCCTTACCCACAGTCAGGACAAATCTTTGTCACCCGCCAGTCCCACAGCCGCTCAGGCCCAACCAAGTAAACACAGAGACTTATATTGCTTACAAACTGTATGGCCGTGGCAGGCTTCTTGCTAACTCTTCTTTTATCTTA